TAGCAGATAGCACAGCAGAAAGAAACCTCTGTTCGTACATGGTCTACTGATATGTCCCAGAATAAAAGGCAAAGATCATGAAGCAAACTATTTGTTTTTTAAATCTTATCAATCAGAGTAATTATATATTCATTTGTTAGAAACACTCTCTTACTTGAGTATCATAACATGTATAACCATTTAAATAGTCCAGTTTAAGAGCTCTGTTTGTAGTCTAAGAGTTAGTGATTTTTTTTTTATTCTGACAGTAACTTGGAGAGTTTAGTGCAATATAATGTAATATATCATGCCAAATTAAGTGGAACCTATTTGCTATTATCAGTGTCTTCCCCCACTTTATTTGTTGGATTATTTCCCTTGGTACCTCATATTTATGTAAACAGCAGTGATATTAGTATTTTAGGCACACTTCAGGCTTCTTCATAATAGTTGATTTAATCTGGATTTAGGTTGTGTACAGCAAAAATTGTATTTATTTATATTGGTGTCCCTCATACCCAGCACGGTGTCTGGCATACAATAGGTGATCAATAAATGTTTGTAGATCTGGACTGAATTATGTTTGAGTTTTGAGCCATTTGCAATGAATAAGGACTTTTCAGAAACTTCTCCAACAGCTTCTATTTTCCATGATTACTGTTTTTTTGTTTTTTTTTTTAATTTTCTTCGCGTCCCCGCGGGCAGTAAGGCGGCCGAGGAGGCTGGGGAAGCTGAAGGAACCGAGGGGGATGCTCCCAGAGGAACCGCACTGCCTCTCCGAAGTCGAGGGTCTGTCTGGCACCGGCTGAGCGCCACCCCTGAGTCTACTGTTTTTTTTTGAAACAGCAAAGGTCTGAGTTGTTTCATCTTTTCTAATCAAAATGCATATAGCCTTCCTCCTTTTTCTTTGTCCATCTGCATTTCCCACTATCTCTGTCTTCTTGCATATTGCCTTGGCTGGAGGTGTAGGATACATGAATTCCCCAACGAAACTTTAATGATGTGGACCTATGGCAACCATATTTCGGAGCTACATTATTCTTCTTCCAGCAGAAGTGTAAGTCATAAAATTTTAGAGATTTAAGTGACATTAATGATCATCTAGTACAACCATTTTACTAATGAGGACACTGGGGCCCAGAAAGAGGTCATCTACCAAAGATTCACATTGATGATTTTAAAATAAAGGACAATTTAAATTTAAAGTTCTCATCTACGTATGGTCCATCCTCTGTCTTTCAGAAGCATGGACATCTGAACAACTATAGTTTGTTGCTCTGTGTAACATTTGACAGGAATTACTAGAAGGAAAGAGCTATTTTGGATGTAGTTTTCTATTTGCCTTGTCCTTGATTAATTTTGCCATTGTTCTATAGTGAATTGGTACAAAGAAATTCGAAGGTTGACACATCTTTTTGAGGGTAGTTGTTGACTGGAACCCATAATTTGCATATATTTCTATTTTCCTCCTTTCTGCACTCCAAAGTTCATTAGGAAAACAACCAGGACAAAGCTCTGTGACGACCTAGATGGGTGGGATGGGTGGGAGGGAGGGAGGTCAAAGAGGGAGGGGATATATGTATACATATAGCTGATTCACTTCATTGTACAGCAGAAACTAACACAACATTGTAAAGCGATTATACTCCAATTAAAAAAAAACTAGGGCTTGCCTGGTGGCGCAGTGGTTGAGAGTCCGCGTGCCAATGCAGGGGACACGGGTTCGTACCCCGGTCCGGGAGGATCCCACGTGCCGCGGAGCGTCTGGGCCCGTGGGCCATGGCAGTTGGGCCTGCGCGTCCGGAGCCTGTGCTACGCGGCGGGGGAGGCCACAGAAGTGAGAGGCAGTGAGAGGCCCACGTACCGCAAAAAAAAAAAAAAAAAAAAAAAAAACTATATGAGAAAAATATAATGTAGATATATCTTGCTAAACATAATTTTTAATTTCTAAAAAGGTACAATTAAAAATAATATGTAAGGGGGCTTCCCTGGTGGTGCAGTGGTTGGGAGTCCGCCTGCCGATGCAGGGGATACGGGTTCGTGCCCCGGTCTGGGAGGGTCCCACATGCCGTGGAGCGGCTGGGCCCGTGAGCCATGGCCGCTGGGCCTGCTCGTCTGGAGCCTGTGCTCCACGGTGGGAGAGGCCACAACAGTGAGAGGCCCACATACCGCAAAAAAAAAAAATAATAATAATAATATGTAAGTATATTAGGGAATTTGGTATTGAAGGGAATTCTCGCATAAAGAGTTGTTTTGTAAGCACATAATATAAACAAGTTATAATACCTGCATATCTAGATTTTCAGTTATTTGGTTTATTTAAAGTATAGTGTAATTATAACACCTTCTTGCTGAAACTAGAACCATCCTTAACAAATTAAGCCAGAGATCTAGTTCAACTTTGCCTTTAAATCTAAATTTTGTAATCTGTATTTGGTTGTACTAAATCATCTTTAATATTTGTGAAAATATGTCAGGCAGCTACTGTTTCCCAAACAGTGCAGTAAGAAATGGAAACAGACATTTAACTCCATTAATTCATTAAGGATTTATTTTGCCTATCCACACGGCCAGCTGCACAAATAGAAGACAAACACCCAAGATGTAGAGATAAATCAGAAACACGGTTGTGTGCTTAGTGGTACTGGGTGTGACAAGATGGTTCAAGTCCTCTGGTCTGAGTGGGCAGGACGGTTACAACCTCAAGCATGCAGACACTCCTAGGTCCATAACAAACTGCTGATTGAAATGTGTCTTGTGCGTTTCCTAGGCATTCTGCAGACTTAATGGATGAAAGTGTCATCGTTGTTTGCAGGTCTCCCCAGGAACATCCATCTCCTGAATAATGAGGACTTACATATGCTATGAGCCCAGCCTGGGAATCTCCTGAGCGGAGGTAAGTAAGGATGCCTGAAATCTGGTCCTGGAAAGTCTTTCCTAGTCATTTGGCAGTTAGTCCAGAGGTTCATAAACCTCCTGATGTGAGCAGGGACCTAGATAAATGGCTTACTTCCAGCCTCCAGGGGAATTAAGAGCTTTAAAAAGGTGTTTATAAAGTACTGATCCTACTCAAAGATTACAGGTGTTGAACAAATATTTGCAAACACTGATAATTTAACAATTGCTTACTACACTCCAGGCTCTGGGCTGGGTATTTTATGTGTATTTTCTCATTTAATCCTTACAATGATCACGCAGGATAGGTGCTACTGTCAACATCATAATTTAGAGGAAAGTAAACTGAGACTTAAAGAGGCTAAGTAAATTGTCTAACGTCACAAAGCTAGTCAGCTCGCCCCAGTATTCAAGCTTGAAGTCAGTTATTCCCTGGGCTCAGTTCCCTTGTTTGTTAACTGAGGTGCTGTCTTCCTCTTCCTTTTTTAAACTTCTCTTTAACCTGGTTTTATTTACCATGGGACTTCACTGGAGAGATAGTTCCACTCCACTGGAGAGAGAAGGTAGGGGATTTCTTTTTTTTTTTTTTTTTTTTGCGGTACGCGGGCCTCTCACCGTTGTGGCCTCTCCCGTTGTGGAGCACAGGCTCCGGACACGCAGGCTCAGCAGCCATGGCTCACGGGCCCAGCCACTCCACAGCATGTGGGATCTTCCCGGACCAGGGCACGAACCTGTGTCCCCTGCATTGGCAGGCAGACTCTTAACCACTGCGCTACCGGGGAAGCCCGAGGTAGGGGATTTCTAATGATGCCAATGGATGAAAACATTTCCTGGTGAATACATGCATTGAGGAGTCTTACTGCATATTAACAATTTGCCTGGGCACCTCCTCCATTTTCTCTAGTTGGTGTCTCTGACAAACTTCTCCTATGACCAGATATTCTACATGAAAATTCAGTCATATTTGAATATTATATTCGGCTATTACTTTATTTTAATTAGGTACTGGATGTGAATATCAGTTCAGCTATTCAGGCAAAAGAACTATAGCTAAAAGTAGAAAAACAAATGATATGCCTTCAGTCTGTCAGGGGGGTAGAAATTTAGTATCCACTTAGGCCTCCCACCTTTCTCCTGTGCTGTGGCCAAATTCTAAGGCATTTGGGGGATGAGGAAGGGTTTGAGAGCCCCTCTGCTCCTTCAGTTGGCTGCCTCTGTAGGCATCTGTTGAGAAACCCATCATTTGCTGTTCTTAGAGCACATTCATGAGTCCACACACATCACTAAAAAGATGTCCCTGCTTCCTGTCTGTGGATTTCTATGCAGTACTTGAAGGCTTAGAATCATTTTGTTGCCTCTGTGCCATACAGTCATCTGCAATCTCTGAGGTTGTCCATGACCTTATCTGCTTAAGGCAATATTCTCCAAATTTCAGTCTTTTTCATACTACATAAATTTTTTTGTTAACTTTTTTGACATACCTGGGACCCTCAGTATTAACTTAATATTTTTCCTCAACAAATTGTAATTTATTTTAAAAGGAAACTTGACTGCAATAAAGAGAAAACTAATATCACTTGCCACAGAGAGAAAGCAGCCACAAACAAAAACTACATGAAACCCGAAGAATGTCATTACATTCTAGCTGGATACCTTCTGTCAGGTTACATCCTTCTTAGGCTAAACGTAAGCAGTAAAACCAGAAAGACTATCTGCTGCGATGGGAGTGAGGTTGTGGGAGAGAAAATCAATGGGTTAATATTTTTAAAGTACAATCGCATTGCTGTTCATAAGCAGGATGGTGGTAGGGATAGCACAGAACTGGAAAAATCTGAGTCATATTCGTCACAATTAACGACTAGTAGTGACCGGAAATAGGTCGCCTTGCTCGGCGGACCTTCGTCCCTTCCTTAGTAAAATATTAAGAATCCATCTGCTCAGACTTCCCTTTTGCGCACCTAGGGAGCGGAACTACACCTCCCACAAGGCGCCGCGCGGCACCGAGAATGCCGTCCACCGCGTCTCGCAGCTTTTCCTCTGTCCCTCCTACAACTCCCACAAGCCCCCTCGGCTCCGGGGCCAGGCCGGGCCCGGGGAGGAGGCGGAGGCGCAGGAGTTATGGAGGGGGCGGGCTCTGCAGGGAAGTGCGTCAGAGAAGGCGCGGGGAGAGTAGGGTGCTGTGGTTTGAGCTTGAGGGTGAAGCTGGCGGAGCAGGAGGATGGGCGGTGAGTGAGCGGGGCCGACGTCGCCGGGCGGGGATCGCGTAGCCGTTCGGTGTTTCCAGCCGTTTGAAGAGGGGCCCCCTCCCCGGGCGCGGCCGGGGCTGTGCGGGTTCTGCGCGGGGGCCTGGGGCGGGGCTTTTCCCTTGGCCGAGTGGTCCGGGGAGGGGCCTGCTCGGGTACCTGAGGCCCCTGGCTGGGGACCGCGGAGGGCTGCCCCGTCGCAGCTCTGGCTGGTCTCCACCACCCCCGGCCCCAGGTTGCGCCCCGCGAGGTGACAGCGCCAGGCGTCCGGCCTGGGCGAAGCGCCGCTCCAGGTGCTCGGGACCTTTTAAGGTCATTTGAGAGCCACCAGGAGGAAAAAGGATTAAAGAGAATAAAAATACAAACCCAACTTCTGGAGTTATCGTTAATTATTGTATGCTCTGATCTCTCCTGAGTCACTTGCCATTTCCCAAACTCAGCAACTCGTTTGCGAGCCCGTTTTCGTGCTGCTTTTTAAGGTGTTTGGCGCGGTCATGGTATATATATACTTGCAGTATTTGACTAAGCTTGATCCGCCTTGAGTCATTTTACTGCGGCCATTTACTACTGCCAGTGAGCCCTGTCCACGCCTTGGGAGTGTTAATATTTGCCTAATCCAGAGTTTTCTTTCTGGCTGAGGAGGGATCATTTAGTTTGCAGATGAGGAGGTTCAGAAATATAAGGAATGGGTAGAGTAGATAGGAGTTAAGACTTTGGCAGGGTAAAAGAGCTTGGCTTAGCTTTAATGGATTACGGGCAGATTAGAATCTAGCATTATTATATGTTGTTATTCTCTTTGCTATGCCGTGCGCCTGGAACAACCTTTCTTTCTGGGTTAACAAACATTTTCACCTGTCTTTTAAATAGCTCCTTACTCGTAACCTTGTTTTAGAAGGTTTCCCTATGCAGAGGAAACTGGGAGGAGCCGATTTCCTCTGCTTCCTTTTCCTATACCTTTTTCACACTCAGACCCAGAACACTTAATGCTCTGCAGTCTGTCATTTAAAATGTATGCAAGGTACATTGCTGACTCTGGGCATGTGTATTGTTTGTATCTGTAATGTGTATGTCCATTTCAGTGTTGTCTGTTTTAGTGTGCAGGTGATAGACTAGAGAACAAGACCTCTGTCTCCGTAGCATCCTGGGTATGTGAGCATTCAATGAGTACTTTTGTGATAATGAGTTTTGTTTTGAACTTAATTAAAAAATGCTTGCTTCCTTTTTTAAAAAAAAATTAATTAATGATTATACATTACTTTAAAGAGCCTTGGGAGGGGGAATAGGGTAAAGGGTAATTTTGACGTAATTCCTTTCAAAATCTGTGTTTGTCCTTGAAGTCTAACTTTTGTTCTTTCTTCAACTTTTAAACAGAGCAGTCTGAATGCCAGAATGGATAACCGTTTTGCTACAGCATTTGTAATTGCTTGTGTGCTTAGCCTCATTTCTACCATCTACATGGCGGCCTCAATTGGCACAGACTTCTGGTATGAGTATCGAAGTCCAATTCAAGAAAATTCCAGCGATTTGAACAAAAGTATCTGGACTGACTTTGCTAGTGATGAGGCAGATGAAAAGACTTATAATGATGCACTTTTCCGATATAAAGGCACAGTGGGATTGTGGAGACGGTGTATCACTATACCCCAAAACACATACTGGTATAGTCCACCAGAAAGGACAGGTATTTCTCTTATTTTAACTTTTGTCTCCTTTACCTATTCTATAATAAAGTGATGTGATGATGGCCCAGTTATGTATAAGCAGGTTTGTGGGTTCTTTCTCTCCCCAAAAAAAGAAATCTTATGTATCTCTTTTCTCCCCGTCACTTCTCTCCCCAGCTTCCATGAATTACCATTATACTCATTAATATTGGTTGGATGAGTAACTGTCCTTATCTTGGGAAAATCATTGTAAATCTTTGTACTTATTTACCCACTCATTAAAATATTTGTATTAAACTCACATGTCATGAGAAAATAATTGGAAAAGAACACTGGAAGATTTCAAATACTTAGTAACTGGTAAAAAGGACTAGTATCCAAAATAAAGTCAACACATGTGAATTGATAGTCATTTTATATGTAGCTGTGTTTTAGTTGATATTATCGTTTGCCCACTAATTCTTAGAGGATATAATTCGACCAGTTCTGTGTTTAAGTCTGCATATTTGAGACTGTTTTACAACAATCTTGATGGAGTTTTTAGGTTAAAAATATCCATTACAGAAGTAAAAAAAAAAAAAATCTAAGAAACTGTCTCTTAGGTTTATTTTGTAAGCATTCTAAACATTTAAAAATTTTAATTTCCAGTTATTGAGATGGAAGCTTTAGAGTTCTTTGTAAGGAACAACTTTATAAATTGTTTCTATTTATGACTACTTCTGTTGGGCTCTTGGTGGGAAGCACTATATTCAAATCACAGCACAACAGGCTTGAGTTACCATACATCGGAAGGCTGATAGTTGTGATTTTGTATGGAAAAAAGAAAGTAGTTTCGAAAGAGGTGAAAGTTGGTTAAATTTTATTTAAAATGCTCAATTCTATTTATGAGAGCATAGGAGCACTTGATATTTGAATCTTAGCAATCGTTTATTATTCAGTCAACAAATATTTAGTGCATTCTTTCATGTTCCAGGGCCTAGGAGCTTGGAGTACATTAGGGGAAAAAACAAATAAAAATCCCTACTCCTGGGGAGCTAATATTCTTTTTTTTTTTTTTTTTTTTTTAAAGCTCCAGTTAACACTATTGCTCTGCTGCTTTTTTAAAAAAATTTTATTTATTAATTAATTAATTTATTTTTGGCTGTGTTGGGTCTTCGTTTCTGTGCAAGGGCTTTCTCTAGTTGCGGCGAGCGGGGGCCACTCTTCATCGCAGTGCGCGGGCCTCTCACTGTCGCGGCCTCTCTTGTTGCGGAGCACAGGCTCCAGATGCGCAGACTCAGTAGGTGTGGCTCACGGGCCCAGTTGCTCCGCGGCATGTGGGATCTTCCCAGATGAGGACTCGAACCCGTGTCCCCTGAATTGGCAGGCAGATTCTCAACCACTGCGCTACCAGGGAAGCCCGCGAGGGGAGCTAACATTCTAATAAGGGCTGACGGTCAATAAACAATAAGTATAATCGTATAACCAGAATAAGTAATTATATAGTAGAAGATGACATGTGCTTTGAAAAATACAGCACAATAAAAGGGGTTTGGAAATACATAGGGAAGGGGATGTTGGTGGGCATAAGTTACGCTATTGAATAGTAAAGGCAAGATACGCTGCAACAAGAAAATACCACTTGAGGAAAGACTTGATAAAGGTGAAGGAGTTGACCATATGGGTAGTTGTGGAGGCAGGGAGAATCATTTAGGTTGGAAGGAGCAACTGCAAGGGCCCTGTAGTGGGAGCATGCTTGAAGTATTCCAGAACCAGCAAGGAATTCCCTGGGCTGGAAGGAGGGAGCTGGGGGAAGAGTTGGGTATGTGTCAGAGACACATCCTGGGAGAGGGAGTAGGGCGAATCACGCAGGATTCTCTAGGCGTGATGAGGGCTTTGGTTTTTACTCTGAGTGTGATGGAGCCACTGGGGAGCCTTGTGCAGAGGAAAGATAATCTGGTCACATAGGAAGATGTGCTGAAAACAGGTGGCTGGCCAAGACAGAAGCCAGGAGACTTAGGAGGCTATTGCACCAATTCAGGTGAGAGATGATTATGACTCAAGACCAGGATGGTAGTACTGAGCAGTGCCTGATTCTGGATATATTTTGAAGGTAGAGCCTCTGGGATTTTCTGATGGAATGCATATGGGCAAGAATGACTGTAAAGTTTCTGGTCTGAGGAACGAGAAGAATGGAATTGTCATTACCTGAAATGGGGAACATGGCTGATGGAGTAGGTCTGGGGGAGAAGATCAAAGTTTCTTTGTCCACTCCTTCTTCCTAGTCTTCTTACTACCTATTCTAATTCATTTTACTGCTCCTCCCTGAACCCATGTCTTAAGCCTGCTGCTGAGAACCGTTGGTCTTTGGGCATTGGTGAAACCTGTGTGTCACTCAGGACCAAAGAGGTTGCTATCTCCCCTGAGAACATTTTTCCATATCATTTTTTATTTCAGAGAATAATTACTAAAAGAGATTTTTGTTAAATGTTTAAAATTAAAACAACAAGCAATCATTGTTATTCTCATTCCAGAGTCATTTGATATGGTCACAAAATGTATCAGTTTCACACTAAATGAACAGTTCGAGGAGAAATTTGTTGATCCTGGAAACCACAATAGTGGGATCGATCTGCTTCGGACCTGTGAGTAGTTTGAACGCAGCAAGGCAATTGGGAAAAAAAGAAAATAATTTTATTTCTCTTTTGTTGAACTCTTTTTGGAACAGGATGACATTGTACATTGTGTCAACTTGAAATAAGGTCTTTAACATTATCCCAACAAACTCTGTTCTGTTGATAACACATTTTAGAAGTTAGATACATTCTTACCAAATCACAACTATGAAGTTGAGCAGCTAATACATTGGGTGACAGAATCCAGACCATCCAAAAGATGTTATTAATGGGCCCATTTAAAGAGGAAGTTTAACAGGGATAAATAGTACATTTTTATATTTAAGTTAAACACTTCATTTATCTGAGTTCAGATCGGGATATGTGAAAAAAGTTGACTGCAGGCTTTATATGAGTCAACAAGTATCAGGCCTGCTGAAGTATTGATCCAGTCTTAGGTGGTAGTAACCAAGGTGTAGATGTCAAAAACAAATGAAAGTAATTATTACGAGCATTCTATTCCTTGATGGTCAGGCGGCCTAGGAAGTGCTGTCTTCATATTTGGACCTAGTTTCTAGGCTATATAGAGAGTTACTGGAGCTTGCCTGGAAGAATGACCACGTCATGAGAAGGAACATTGAATAAATGACAAGTATTCAATTTTGCATTGTAAATGCATAGGAAGAAGTTTATTACTAACAGAGTTTGAAGGGAAGTTAGAGAAAAGACTCTTATATAGTTCCAGAAAGTAAAACTAGCACTAAAAGGTAAAGTTTGGTTTAGAGTTGATGTTACTACATTGATAATAATTAAAATAATTTGAAAATGTAATGGGATGCTTTGTAAAGTCATCAGCTTTTTTTCCTATGTTGTTGAGGGAATTTATGATAATTAAAAATGAGATTTATTGAGTGCCTGGTATATACCAGATCCTCTGCTTTGTGCTTTATGTATATTCGTTTAACAGGTCTTTTATAATCTCTATTCATTTGCTTGTTATTCCTGTCTTAAGATCCTATGAGGACTTAAATTTGTATGTAGAGCCAGAATGTTTTGCTTCAAATCTGGTTCTACCACTTATTGTGTTACCTTGTACAAGTTATTTATACCTCCTGTTTCAGTTTCCTCATTTATAAAATGGAGATAATAGTAATAGTACCTACTTCATAGAGATTTTGGGGGTTTAATATGCAAAGCATGTGTAGAACAGTGCCTGACACATAGGAAGCCCTCAGTAACAGTTAATTGTTAGTGTCCTTTTGCTTTTATCAGGAGAAAGTTAGCATTGTTTTGAATAATGTGCTTAAGGAAAAAACCTCAATATTAGCATACTTCATTCTCACTTTTTGAGAAAAGTTCTAATTAGAATATGAAAGAAATTGCCATTGTGAGAAAACTGAAATCATGGTAACATTTCTTTTTTCTCTCTCTCCCTTTTTTAAAATCAGATCTTTGGCGTTGCCAGTTCCTTTTACCTTTTGTTAGTCTAGGTTTGATGTGCTTTGGGGCTTTGATTGGACTTTGTGCTTGTATCTGCCGAAGCTTGTACCCCACCATTGCCACAGGCATTCTCCATCTCCTTGCAGGTGGGTCTTGTCATCACACTTAGTTTTACCTACTTCTTGTCTCCTTAGGGATCCCATATTACTGCCCTGTTGTGTTGCCTGGAAAGCTCTTACCATGCTCTTACCTAGCTATGTTTTTTTGTTTTTGTTTTTTTCTAAATTTTCCTCCAAGGTCTGTGTACACTGGGCTCAGTGAGCTGTTACGTTGCTGGAATTGAACTACTCCACCAGAAACTAGAGCTGCCTGAGAATGTGTCTGGCGAATTTGGATGGTCCTTCTGCCTGGCTTGCGTCTCAGCTCCCTTACAGTTCATGGCTTCTGCTCTCTTCATCTGGGCCGCTCATACCAACCGGAAAGAGTACACCTTAATGAAGGCATATCGTGTGGCATGAGTGGGAAGCTGCCTGCTTTACAATTGCCATTTTTATGATTTTTTGATATTAATATTTTCCCTTATCTGCCCCCCCAATTGTTTTTAATTTAACTTTTTTTAATGGATATACCATTTTTTCCTGAAAATCCATTTTATTTATTCACACAGTTGTTTCTTAATACCACTAAAATTTATATGGAACCTGAGTGATTCCATCTTTCAGTCAAACTAATCTAGGTTCAGAGTCCAGACAGGAAAAAACTGGGTAAACTCTTTGTACAAATTTGTGAAAGAAAATTGGTAGTAGGAGGTTGACCCAAAGCACGTTCTGCTGAGGTCTGTTGGATAAAGTATCTGTTTAACTGGAAACTCTAGTTTGTTTGGGAAGCAATCATTGTCAAAACTTACGTTCACTTTGCTGTTGTAGATAGCCAGTCAGCCAGGCTATTTTCAAGGACTTAGGCTATCTAAAATAAGGAAATTATCTAAGATCTTTTTCTCTAAATATTGGCATATAACTTCATCTGAGGTGAAATATCTTCAGTTGTTTATCTGTACTGTGTCTGTTTACAAGAAAGGAAGTGTTTACATGGAATTTTAACTTTGTAACTGCAAGAATTCCAGTTCAGCCAGAGAAGAGGATTAACCTTATTTTACTTTTTTTTAAAAAACTCTCCTTAATAGGTCAATAAGATTTTTAGTATCGCCAGACCATTTTGGATTTTTGTTCCTTCCCTCCTCACACCAGACTTATTAAAAGAGTGCTTTTTTTAAACACTACGTTGGGGTCACAGAGTAAAATTCTCCAACTGCCATACGTTTATTTCAGCTAAGTACCATAAAGAAGGTTCCACCATAATGACCCTCTGGAGCTAGGAAAACTACCACAAGATCTAAAGCTTTGGCTGGTCATTAACTTCCAACTATGGTCTTTATTTCTTGTGGTGAAATGATGTGCCTTTCCTTGCCTAATCCCTTCCTGGTGTGTATCAACATTATTTAATGTCTTCTAACTCAGTTTTTTATAAATATGTCTATAAACATTGAACTTTAAAAAATCTTATTTATTTATTCCATTACTGTAGTACTTGACAGATTTAAAAAAAATGTAACCTAGTAATAATTTCTTACAAAATCCTAGATCTGTCTTTTTTAAAAAATAAAAAAATGAGAAGAGACTCAGAATTGTGTATAGTGTCTGAGTTGATTAAATCTCAGTACCTTAGGATAAAGAAATACAGGATTCTGAATGAGGATTTTGTGATTTTCTGTGGGAAATGTATTGTTGCTCTATAGCCCTACTTTATGTCCAGTGTTTGGGTCTCTGTTTTATCATCCAGAAAATGTGGGAACCCCTTGTCCCCATTAGAAAATAAGAGACTATTTCTTATGCTTCAGCGTTTTAAAGCATGTTTTCAAAGTAGTTTTGTGATCATTGTGTATCATACTTAACATGGCTAGTTTTTCATAAAGTCATTTAATGGCAGTGGATGTTTATGTTGTGTATTAATCAAGTGGGCTTCTGACTTACAACAAAGCCACTATTACTCTGCAGCCGATTATTGCCTGTGAAATGGCTAGTTTACTCAGCTTTCTACCTCCTCCTAACTCTTGAAGTTTCATTGCCTTTCAGCACCTTTTGTGGAAGGTAGAAAAGCTAAGTGAACAAAACACAGCACACTTTTGGGAATGAGATTTTAAAATTATTGACCAACATGACGTTTTTGGATTTGGAAGTTATTTATTTTATCCCTGCCTCTTATCACCCCAGAATTACCTGTAACTTACTCTAACACCCGTCTTTAGTGTGCATTGAGGAAGCTTAGTCAGGATCTGACTTTTGAGCCTCACCAGTAGCACCCTTAAATATGGAAAGCTAGCACCATAAGCCCTGGTGCTGAGTATGTGTTGATTAAGCACATTTCAGAGTAGCTGAGGTCATTCTCTCCTGCAAAGATTTTTTTTCTTTGGAACACAGAGGCTTGCATTGTTTCACTTGATGTGTAAATATTACGGCTTTTCATCTGTCTAATCATTCTAGTCAAGTAGAACCATATGAAATTACTGATATTTGACCATTTTTGATTAAACTAATACATAAAATCAGTGGCAAGGAAAGTGCTATTAATCTCTTTTCACCTAATCTTTGAAAGCAACCCCCGAAGTGTAAAAAAAATAATTTGCAGAATGTGAGTTTTATGGCAACTTAAGAAACATGTTTTAAGATCTTATTTTTTTGGTTCCTGATCTCATTTCATGATGTGAATAAATGTCTTCTATATCCTTTTTAGCAGACTCATTTTAGAAAATTTCTTAAGGATAGCCATAAACACAGTAAAAGTTAATACAATAAAAAAGGCAGAATTTATTTGTTCAATTAATATTGTGTGCCTGCTGTCTAGGTCATAATATACTAGGGTCTCGGGAATTTAATTGTAATGTGTTAAAAGTTTTACCTGGTCTAAGTATTGGTGTGTGTGTGTGTGTTGGGGGGGCAGAGGCAATGGATAGAGTTAAGTCACAGGTGAACTGATTGGTGACCCCAGTGAGAAGAAGGAGTTGACCATACAACAAATCAATTTAGAGTTTGTTTTTCCATTCCAGAGACATTGCTGAATTGCAGACTAGCCCTGTTAAAACTTATGTAATATATATCCAGTCATTTTCAATTATTGTAAAGTAGTGTGAGGGCATTTTAAAATTTAACCCTTATGTAAGCTTTCACCAGAAGTGAAAACAACCTGTTGATTTAACCTGATTTTGCCAGTTGCAACACTTTGAAAAGTTTCCCAGCAGCTAAAAGAGCAGGTAATGTGTATAGTGCTGAAGATGCAAATTGTTACTTCACAAGCTCCACCCATCTCTGTCCTGGCACAGATGGGTGAAGTCTCTTGTCCTCCTTTCAGCCCTCTTCTCTTAAGGGAGTAATGATTCAGACTTGAGAGAAATAAAACAAGGGGACACATCTGTGTATAGGAATTCTTTTTCTTTTGTTCATCATGTGTTCCAACACACTATTGTAATGAGATATATTTTTCCCTTGGATCAAATTATGATATATGCCAGTGTCCTGCAAATTCATTATGTGAAAAGAATAAATTAGAGTAATTATTTGCTCTCTAGAAGAAGAGATTTAAATCCTCTTCAGTGTTAAAATTTCTGTTAGCAAAATTAATATATTGACATACTGACACTTGCACACTTTCAGCAAACTTGTATAAAGCAAGATCCAATTTATATTACTTTTTACCTTTGCAGAGTTCTAAACAGATGGAATAAGGAGAGAGAGAATTCTCTTTTGTCTTCACCTTTTAAAATATTTGAGTTTTGGGGTAATGTATCACCTTTCATCTTCAGACTCTGTCTCAGAATGTGAAATTTATCTCACGTCTCCTACAGCCTTCCAGCCCCTCCCAGTCTTCTAGCCTGTGTTCTTGTTTTTCTCTGCTCAGCTTGTATTGTCATTGGGATGTACGCAAGCAGCTTTGAGTCTCTTGTTTGCATAATCTCCTGTGAAGACACCTTCCTTCACAGTCCTTAGTCTTATCTTCACAGCAGAACTATGCCATCCAGTTTTCCTATTCTCAGTCTCAGGGTACCAAAGAGGGCTGCTCAGAACTATTCAGCTGACTGTGTTTAAAAAATTGCTGTTTGACTTTAGTTGCTTGACAATTAACTCCCATTGCCTGTTGATTTATTACCCTGTAACACACATGTTTTTCAGATCTCTACAAATGTTAGTTGTTGGAAACTTGTATTCTTTTTCTTCAACTTCCGCAGATGGAGTTTATGTTCTCTTTAAGGAGCACATATTGGAATGACCTCTTCAGTTTCTCCAACACTTGTATGCTTCTCCCTACAAAAGAAGAATGGGGCTTCCCTGGTGGCGCAGTGGTTGGGGGTCCGCCTGCCGATGCAGGGGACACGGGTTCGTGCCCCAGTCCGGGAAGATCCCACATGCCGTGGAGCAGCTGGGCCCGTGAGCCATGGCCGCTGAGCCTGCGCGTCTGGAGCCTCTGCTCCGCAACGGGAAAGGCCAAAACAGTGAGAGGCCCCCGTACCGCAAAAAAAAAAAAAAAAAAAGAAGAAGAATGTATTAACTGATTGGAGAGATTGCTGGGAGCATGGCATCCACAAAAAGCAGCAAAGTGTATAGTGGTTAAGTATCCAGCTCAGGAGAGACAGCATACTAAATTTGTAATCCCAGGTCTGTCACTTAGCCTTTCCAAGTCCCACTTTTCCCATCTGTGAAACGCTATGATTATAATACCTGCCTCATAGAGTTGTAGTGAGGATATTGATCAGCATAAAGTAGCCACTCAGAAGTGCTTGACTGGTCACATTAAGAGTGGATGGGATTACCCCTAGTGACCTGGCCACCCCATGGGGTGGTTCTCAGTCTATGCTGCATGTTGGAATTGCCTAGAGAACTTCAGAAAATACTTGTGTGCTAGAGATTCTGATTCAGTCCGTCTGGGGTGTAGCTAGGTCACTGATATTTTTAAACCTTTTCAAGTGATTCCAGCGAGTAGCTCTGTTTGAAAACTGAAAGCTACATTTAAAAGCAAGAAATAGTATTCTCCTTGGCAGATTGTTAGAAAGAGACAGTGGGCTCTGTAGAGTAAACAGACCTGGCATGCTGCCTGCCCTCTAGAAGCTATTTCTTTCCCGTGCTTTCAGGTACTCTCTTATGCTGACATCTGGCTCTTTGAAATGGGCCCCAGTCCATCACACCACTGCTAGCTGGAGATGTACCAAGAGTCTACCTGCAGCCCAGGACACTCCAGTGGCTGGTCCTAAGGTTCAGATTTGGCCGGAGGTAATAGAAAGCCTCGTTTGTTTTGGCTTCAATTCCAAATTACTTTCTTTAATTCAGTACTTTCAGGGACCCTGTAGTGGGGGGGGTGGCTAGGCCTCCATAAAAAAAGGTGAATACTGTGATCCTTGTCTGTTTATCAGTTCACTGCATTACTTCTCTTTTGATTAGAGCCAGAAAGGACAGGTATGAGTAACTGACATTAACCTGTACACAAGCCAGAAATGTTTGAGAATGAACATATAAAATGAACTAGTACTTGCCTTGATAGGTGGTTGTGAGGGTTAGATAAGAAGGTACATAGATCCTGAAACATCAGTCAGTAAATACTAGGTATTGTTAGGAGATGAAGGCAGCACAGGGGGAGGAGGGCAGCCTTTGCCCGGCCTGTGTGGTCAGTCTGTGCAGGAGCTGGAGCTGCTGTGGCTTGTCCTGTGGCTGCACTTCAGCAGGGCTTAGCGCTGGGCTGGGGGCTACAGTATCAGGGAGAATCTAGTTTCCTGTTAATGTTCACTTCAAAACAGGTAGAACTTCATTACAGACAGGCTCTTTAACCATTCTTGCATGTCAAAATGGAAGGATTTTTTAAAAGATTGTGTTGTTATCCTTTTTCCCAAACAGGTCTGCACCAGTGTGGGATTTTTTGGTCTTTCAATGATTTTGCTAAGCGTCGGTTGGTGATTTAAGGTTATCTGCATCAAAAATCTGTCTATATCTTGTTTAAATTGGATCCAGGTCCACTGAGAGAACAAGAGGAACTTGGATTCCTGTGGCTTGTTCTCAGGCTCCTGAAATGAACTACTACCACATGCAATACAATTTGGTTTGGACGGTTCATTTTAAGTGCTGAGGGTAGCAGTGGATTTCAGGGACACACACCATAGGGCCAGACACTGAGCGTTATTCATGAACACTTACAATAAGTTGCAAAGTGGCACTTTTCTTGCCCTGCCTGGACTTAAAGGAGCATTCAAAGGTATGAAAGATAAGAAATTATCTAAAAAACATCTAGAAAGAATTCAAACACTCGGGGCTAAGACTTCTTCCAGGACTTGTTTAGGGACAGCAGCATCCACTTTTATTATCATAACTATCCAACCATCCCCCCATGGCAGTGGTCCCTTTCTCTTCCCATTTGAAATAAAAAGATGACAGGAGGAAGGAAAGGGAGGAAAAGGCCTTGAGTCTTTGCGTGGAGGGTGCTGCGGCCTGTCTCTACCTCCACCAGAAAAGGTGGGTACGGATCCCAGCCCCCAACTACTAGACAGCCTCCTAGGTGGACAAGCAGAGCTACTCTCTAGTTAACCCATGACTTTCACATCTAAATCACATGCTTCGAATTTAGACATTTGCTCATAACCC